GCTATAAAATCTGTAAATGATATATTAGAAATAAAGATCTTGAACTTTTTGATTATATATTGATTTGCTTGGTCAAGATATGATTTCTTGAGATTTTTTTTAAAATTTGCAGTAGTTGGTTTAGAAATTTGAGTGATATTATAGTAGACAATAATTCTGACTAAAATTTGTAAATCCATAGTTGTTAAAGATAATTTGTTAAGAGCTTCCTTAAGATTGAGATTAGTAATTTAATCATTGGTTGTAGCTGTTTTTAAGTATTCTTTAAAATAACTATAAAAGAAGTAGAAATTGGAACCGATTAATAATTAACCAGTTAATCGACCAATATTTAGTTAATTGGTTAAAAAATTTATAAACGGTTAAACTCCGATTAATAGTAATAAAGTAGATAACAAAATATTTAATGCAAAATAGTATAGCAAAGTTAATAATTATACTTTCGCTTGTAAATCTTATAATAGTTTAGTATAATTATAGAGTTTACTTTAATTAGACTTTATATTGTTATACTACATTTGCATAATGGCATATAGTTTATTTAAGCCTAATAATATGTATATAAGCAGTAATATTTTTGTAAATAAAGGAAAGGTTTTGAAGGTTGGGAAAGTTGGATTTTAGTTGAAGCAAGGATATTTTAGAGCACCAGGTAACTTGGTAGAAAGATACTTACTTGTATCGCTCATATTTTTTTGTACTCTTGGTGCTATGTGTGATAATAAATACTTGGTTCACTATTTTTTTATGCTTACGACCCTAAGCTAAATTGGCTGTGTCAATATAAAGTCTTTCCCTTGGTCATAACATCTTGGTGCGAGTGTGTGGAGTGAATGAAAAGAAAACAGTAAATAAAGATCATTTCGTGTTAGAAGATTAATAATAATAATTAAAGGAACAAAAGCCAAGAGTTGGCTTGTGCTAAAAAAAATTGTGTGGATCAAACAAAAGAGTTGTTCTGTGTTAAATCATTAATAGTGTGTGGATTGAACAAAAAATGAAGATCGTTTTGTGAACAAAATTAATAATAATTAAAAGAATGAAAGCCAAGAGTCGACTTGTATTAGAAAATTTATAATGAATAAATAAGTAAACAAAAGCCAGGTCAGCTTGTATTAGAAAAAATTTAATTAGATAGTTTGTACGGAAATAAAACAACTAATTGAACAAAAGCTGGATCCGTTCTGTGTTGAGTCAAAATTGAAAAGACAATAAGAAACGAAAAATATATTAATAATGAACGAGAAAAAAGATTAAGCGACGTTTTAATGAGAACGAGAGAAAGTAAACGAAATAACGAACAAAATAACATGTGGATATAAAGTTTCTACCCTGGTCATAACAGATATTCTGTTTTAATTTTCACGCAAATTTCTATTCTATATATCCCTATATCCCTATATATAAAAGATATATGCATTGTATATGATACTTTTCTAACATTATAAATATTGGTACGTTCAATATTACTAAATATTTTCAGCAGCCATAAATATTTTCAGCAGCCAAAAATAATTTTGGCATTTAGGTATTTTGAAGTAGTATACCGAAAATATAAAAAATGCATAAATCATCCTGAATTTAGGCACCCATGTATAGTAACAACATGCAGATAAAATTAATATGTATATAGATTTTGAACTTTTTTATGGGTTTACATATAAAGTACGTACGTATATATATTGTTATGACTGATTATGAAATCGGATTATTGTGAAATTTGGTTCTATTTCATGTACGATTTTTAAATTTTTTTGGACTTTTTTGTAGGTTTTTTTTTTATAGTTAAGTTAAGATTTAGGGTTAGAGTTTTTAATAAAAGAGTATTGGTGGATTTTGGTAGGGTCTATATTTTCAAATTAAGACCCCAAATTTCACAATAATCCGATTTCATAATTAGCCGCGACATATATTATTTGTGCATGTATATGTAGATGATATCGATGCATTTAATTAAACTAGAAAAAACAAGCTTTTTGCAACAAGATTAGTTATTATGAATTAACGCTGACAAACCTTAATTGAGATAGCACAATTACTTGCCAAATACAATGATCACAACCTTGATAAAATCTAGTTTTGTTGAAACACTATAATGACTACTTAGAACAATCATATATGAGTACTGCCAAGCTAAAATATACAAATCTTATAAGATTTGTATGTTTTAGCTTGGCAGCATTTATGCATGTTTAATTTTAGTTATTTGAGCCATGGTTTCACTTTTTGATTTAAAAATTTTAAACCAAAAAAGACTTAATACTCCTATGTATTTACTTCTGAAATACAATGTTTTTTTTTTTAATTTTGAAACCTTTTATTTATATTAGAAGTAATAGTTATTTTTTTCTCATAAAAACTGCAAAAATTCTGTTTCGTAATTGTGCAGACAGAAAACCTTTGAACAATGCATACTAACTTTACTAGTTAAGATTATACTTCATAAAATCAGATTATTGTAAAATTTGGGGTCTCAATTTGAAAATATAGACCCTACCAAAATCCACCAATACTCTTTTATTAAAAACTCTAACTCTAAATCCTAACTCAACTATAAAAAAAAAGCCTACAAAAAAGGCCCAAAAAAATTTAAAAATCATACATGAAATAGATCCAAATTTCACAATAATCCAATTTCATAATCAGCCATGACAATAATTATACTTTTACACAAATTTATTTTTAAATTGTGAATAAGTTTAACCTTTAATTAGAATTTATAGATTACATATTTTGAAACAAATACGTTACTAATTTTTATTTGAAATTAGAAGATTAATAATCTAAAATGAATTCTCATAATACAAAATTTTATCAAGTATTTAAATAACGATTAATGATAATTTTTATACTTATTATTATTTTTAACTCTTTAATCTTAAAGTTTGTTTGAATATGGAAAATAATGATGATTTATTAAATAATGATGAATTATCTGATTCATCAAATCAATCACAATTGGCAAATAGTAGTTCACCTTTTGTAATAAAAAATAAATGACTTTTAGATATGGAAAATAAAAATACTTTACCAAAACAAAATTCTAAACATCAATGTAGTGCAGTATATTCATTTGTATGGAACTATTTTCATCTTGATGATAATATAACTACCTGTAATATACCTGTAGTAAAAAAAAATAAACAAGAAGCCTGTGGTCATAAACTTATATATGAATCATCAACTTCTAATATGCAATATCATCTTCGTGTGGATTATAATATAATTGATAATACTAAAGTTAAAAAACAATCTATTCAACCAATTGATACATATTTTAAGCAGCCTTATTTCAAATCCAAACAGCAAAAATTGCAACATGCAGTGGTTGAATGGATCGTTTTAGATAATTTGTCATTAAATATTATTCAAGATGTTGGATATCTCTTAAACTGTATAGCGTACATATTTGTATGCTTAAATTTTTAAAGACCTATTACTCAAAATTTTATTAAGCCATACCCCACTTTCTAAGCTAAAATAAAAGCATTTTATATGTTAAATACTATGTAATACCTATTTTATATTTTTTTTTTTATGTTTCGGAAATTAGTTATTTAATGTAGATTGTAATAGGATCGTAATAGGACTTTGATGTCCAAATTTAATACTAAAAAAGGAACCTGCACGTGATACTTATAAAGATTTTTTACAATCATCACACACAGGTTTCTTTTATAATACAATATTAAAGTTGATCAAAGATT